ATTTCCTTACTTATGTGCGCAGAAGTGCCTTCCCCCCCAAGAAACTTAGTCCAGCAGTCGGCACCAGTCCCCACGTACCCTCTATTTCGGAAGACAAGAAGAGCGTCGAGTGCAGACCACACACCACAAGTGACGACGGTCAAAAAAAGCGGGAAGGCGGTGAAGAGTCCCCCGCGAACGCTGCGCCAAAACTAGGTCACCGCGCGGCGTTTTTGCAGTTTGAAACATGGCAATTTGCCAAGTTCAGGACCCCTCTCTAGACGATCGATACAACGCTTTTTTGTTCCGTCTGTGTAGTCCCCATTTCTGCATTTGTTTCAGCTTAGTCCTAGCAAAATTCCACGCCTCGAAGCTGCAAAGACCTAGTTTTAGCGCGGCGGTAGCCGCCGCGTGCGATGTCCCACTTTGGCTTTCGTGGCAACCTCAGGGGACTTTGTCTCGCATTCAAAAAAAAAACCATTTTTCTCTGTCGTCGTCACTTGTGGTGTGTGGTCTGCACTCGACGCTCTTCCCTTCTTCCGAAATAGAGGGTACAAATAATATTTCACGCCTACCGTATTCAAAAAATCATCGTACCCACCCGGCTGGCACAGCACCTATGCAGTTATTAATATTTTGTCTTTCATACCTAGCATTTACATATTCTTCTTTTTACTGATCTTTTCAATACTGCACTATTGTGCTCTTTGCAACACGCCGTAATACCGGTAAGAGACCTGAGCCTGAGGCGTCCAACGACTAGACGCTCTTAGGGCGATGTCAGACTTTGCGAATCCAGCGATGCGCTAGCGAACTTTCAAGCAGTGTCTTCCTTTGAGGTGCACTTCCTTTAAACGTTGGGTCCCGCCACTTTCAAACAATGTTGAGTCGCTGCGTCGCTGGTACATCGTTCGATCCGCTGGTACACAGTTCGATTCGCTGGTGCAACGCTCGGATCCAGCGATTCGCTAGCGAATCGCTGGATTCGCAAAGTCTGACATCGGCCTTCGACAAACACAAAGATTCCTTCAACAACGTCATATTTATTACAGTTAACGAGTACTTCGTACGATGTTTCTAACAAAAAGCTGTTTCCCAGTTAAATTACAATTTGAAGTAATTAAACAAGAGTTAAACATCACAGACCTACGATAACAAAAGCGATGAACAATGTGAATATTACAGCCAATGTAATTGAAAACGCGGGTTCAGCTTTGTTGTCGTGTAGGTGTACGACCTCTTCTGTTTCTCTAACAGGAGGTTCATGACTCAATTCGAATCCAACAGACCCCTTACTTTCGAATGTATAAACAAGATCCGGAAGAGGAATTTGAGGCGTCATTTCAGTAGTGTTCGTTTCTCGTCTGAAATAACGGCATAAGGTTGCAATCCGACCGTTCCTGCGAGAAGCTCCTCAAGGTGAAGTACTGAAACTGCCAAAAAAAAGACAACAGTAAGGAAGCCGCAAAAAAACCGTCGAAGGAACCGGTAATTAGGGGTACCTGACAGGAAGCCCGTCGCGCGGCAAGAAGGCAGAGTCAGCGGACGAGTCGCGGCACGTATGTGTGGTGTGGGACGTACAGTGCGTTCTATTCAAAGCAACAATCCCAGCAGGGTGGGCGTGGTCGGAAACGGCTGCAGTCCCCTCTGCCGAGTTACCGACTGTTCGAAGCTGTTTAGCCCACTATTCAATGAACTAGAAGTGTGAGCTAAAGGAACAAAACTTCACTTGCTGAAATTGACCATGCTAGGCAAGAACTAATGAGGAGCGAGATTCGAATCGGCCGAGGGGATTGCAGTCGTTTCCAAACAGCCGCCACCCTGCTGGGACTGTTGCTTTAACTCGGTGCGAATCAATACAGTATGCGTTGCGACTCGTCCGCTGACTCTGCCTTCTTGCCGCGCAATGGGCCTCCTGTCGGAGACCCAATGATAGGACCTTTTACCTAAGGAAGACAATCTTACGACGAATCAAGACGCCATTGACCTATGAGGAAACACAGAAGAGAGGGAAATACCCGATGGGAGCCATCTCATCACCATCGGGTATTGTCCGGCGAGCTCACATAGCCCTCCTCCCACTCAAAATGGGCAGACCATTATCGACGCACGACTGTATGGAGATTTGCACTAGAGAGTTACTCCCGGAGGTATGTGACTTACAGAAAACAGGATTAGGACATTCGTATTGCGCGGCGAAATGTCTGGACACACGACCTCACAATTTCGCGCCAGACAACTTCGAAATTACCAAATTTGCTAGAAGCTTGTCGTCTGTGACAGTTAGACCTGTAGAACATGGATATTACAGCTCGTTGCAAGTGAGCCTGTAGCCTGCTACGAGCGTCGGCGCAAAAGTGATGAGGTAGCGCGGGCGCTTGTGGCGCGGATGCTAGACATTTCCGCACTAAATTGATACCCACCATTGGGTGCCACTGTCCCAATGGGTTAATGGGATATCGTTCAAATTTTTAATCACGCGCTTTACTACACCTCCCCATCTCTACTCCGAAGTTTTAAATGGGCGAAAATACAGCCCCACCCTCTTCATTTGCAGTTGCACAAACAGACGGTTGACCATGGTGCGGTTCTGGGCCAGGGCAAC